GAGGTGGTATCACTACGGAAGTAGATTGCCCAATCTTCCTTCCAAGGAGTAGCTGGTGGGTTTGAACCGCCAGCCTACTGGTTAGCAGTCAAATGCCTTAGGCACGATGCCACCAGATCTCTCTCTATCAAACATAAAAAGTGCCACTTTAACTATTTGTAAGGGTGCAGTTCAGTGACATTAGTCACATTCACAGTGCTGTACAACCATCACCTCGACCGTATCTTTCCCAAACGTTTTCATCCTGCTAAGCAGAGACTCTGTACCCAGGAAGCTGCAGCTCCCTCTTCTCCTCTTCCTCCAGCCTTGGAGGCATCTGTGTACCATCCGTCTCTAGGAATTTGCCTATAATGGATCAGTACTTAGTATGAATGGGATCCCCTTCTCTTTTGGGGGTACCAATAGCAAGGGTACCCTGTGCATCATTCATTCTGCACCTTGCTATTCATTTAACAACATACCTGGGGTCTTCCGCACATTCAGTACACAGAGGTCATTTTCACTGGTTTTTTAATTGCATAGTATTCCATCATATGAAGAGACTGTAATTTATTTAACCTGTTCACCTATCGAGGAAACTTTATGTTGATTTTAAAACTTTATTACTAGAAACAGTTCTGCAGCAAATGCTCACGTGTGTGTTTGCACATGAACTTGAGTACAGCTGCAGGATTATGTTCCAGGGGTCAGGTTGCTGGGTCATCGGGGTGAGAATGAGTGACTGTGCTAGTGATGGCCACACTGCCCTCTATAAGGGCGTGACCATTTTTACTCCCATCAGCAGTGCTTGGTGCTAGCTGCCCAAGTTGAGTGGGTACAGGGTCTGAGACACCCACATGCTCAAGGCCTGCAGTGCACAGATGGGGAAACTGAGGCTGAGAGCATTCAGGGGCTGGCTTTGGGTTGGCATCAGAACAGTGGGGACTGGGACAGTGACGAGGTCTCATTGCCTCAGACAGCTCAGGGCTCCTCAGGTGGGTGTCCAGGTCTGAGCCTTGGGTGAGAAGCCCAAGGCTGGGTCCTGAGAGTAGGCTGGGACGTTCTGTAGAAGGGGCATTGTACAGAAAACGGGGCAGGTGGTGGGCTGGGAGCCAGTGCTGGTGGACTTACCTGCTGCCTCTGACCCCATCTCAGGGAACTGCCCCGGATTCAAGAGGAGAGAGAAGAGGAGGAGGAGGATGGAGAAAAGGAGGAAGAAGAAGAGGAGGAAGAAGAAGAGGAGGAAGAGCTCGAGTAAGGCACTTGTCCACCTGGTTCTGACTCCAGGCTAAGGGAGGGGCTGGGACGCTCTCCACTGCTCACGGGGTCTCCTTTCCTCTGTCCTGTGCTGTGTGCCACTGGACACGCTGACCTGAAGAGGCTGGGAAAAGCTGGGGGTTCTCTGTTGGTGCTTAAAATGACCTAGGACTCCACCACACACTACCAACCACCCCTCCCTCCCAAATGCGTTAGAAGGCAACCCCCATGAGGGCTGGGATTTTGTCTGTTGGCTTCACTGCTACGTCCCCTGAGCCCTAGTATACAGTAGGCAATAAGTAAATGTTTGATGGATAAGTGATCATATACAGTAGGTTCACAGTTCTCCTCTATTATTAACACAGCCATAGCGTAGGGCTGTCCCTCCCCTCCACACCCCTGGCGGTCCCATGGTTACCTCTGACGTCTTCTAAGCCTTCCCTGAAACAGAAAACCAGCTAACCTCATGTGTGTCCGCGTAGAACTGGGCTCCACAGGGTTTTCGTGGCTGGCTTTTTGAACATAGATCATCAGGCCTTTCTTCTGAGGTGCCTCTGGGTGCACTTGAACTTCTAACCTTTGGGTTAGCAGCTGAGCCCGTTAATCATTTGCATGGTCCACTCCTTATGGATTCTTTGGGTCTGCTCTGTTGTTCATTAATGGTTGATGCTTCCTTCACTCACATCCATGGAGATTCCAATATTAAAACATGCACAGTAGTTCCATTAAAATACGTTGAAATAGAGACCAGAAACCACTAAGTGGGAGAGGCTGTCAGGAATGTGGGTGGACAGAGGACAGATGGATCGGTGGACAGACATGGAGATGGAAAGTAGGCAGTTGCACCTGAGTCTGGAGTTAGCACAATGAGAGGCTGGACTGAAGATAAAAATTCAGAAATCTGGTTCTGTCTGTGGGCTAGAGATATCCTAGGGAGGGAAGCGTGGGTAGAGGAGAGGCCAAGGTCAGATAAGAGGTCGGCCTTTGAGGAGCAATCAGTAAAGGGCTGAGGAGGAGCCTGCTGGTAAGGGAATAATGAGGACGGTGCAGGGCCGTGGAGCCACGTCAGAAGGTGTTTCAAGAAAGGGGTGACTTGCAGTCAGGGAACAGTGGCTGGTGGAAATGGTGGGAGATGACATTGCAGAAGCAGTGGGACAAGACTGTAATGTTCTTGAACTTGATTTCCTGGGAGCAGTGGGAGCCATTCAAGGTCTGTGAGCAGGGGAGTGACACAACCTGACAGCAGCCTTGGGGAGAGATTAATGGGGGGAGAGCAGTGAGGAGGGTGAGTGACATCACAGATCAGGCAATCTGACCTCTTGCCCCACCTCCCTGGCACTGGTCCTTGTCCCTGTCACGCTGCCCACTGAGACACCTGCACCATACCCTCCCTCACCCAGTGTTAGGAGCATGGACTTCCGCATGGGAACCTGGCTTTGCTCCTCTTAGCTGAGCGACCTGGGCAAGAGCTTTGCCTCCACATCAGTCAATGAGGTTAATAATAGACCCCCGCAGAGTGGCCATAAAGGTTGTCTTATGATAATGAATGGGGCAGGACTTGGCCTGGAATAAATGCCTTGTTGGTGGTCACCAATGTTCTTGACCCCACAGAAGGTCACTTTTAGTCCTAGTCAGGAAATAGTTGAACCATGAGGTCAACACAGGGTTACAGAGCTGGCGCCTGCTCAGTCATCTGCTTTTAGTTCACCCTTGTCCAGTTCGCATGTAATCTTTCCATCTTTGGCAAGAGGCTTCACAGTCTCTACTTGCTGACTTCTGATGATGGGGAGCTCATGACCTCCCCAAAGCTGTCTAGTCCATCCTTGTGACCCTCTGACTTATGAAATTATTTCTTGCACTGACACTAAGCTTGCTTCCCTGTGGCTTTTGTAAGCCAGCCCTAATTCTTCCCTTTGGGCAGTTGAGCAAGGCTGCTCTCACTAACAGGAAACTGCCCTTCAGGTAGGTCAAGACCATAGGAGGTGCTGTCTAGCGTCCTTACTGCACCTTGTTCGTCCTCTGCCTTCCACTGCCCCTACGCAGAGCACCTGGCTATGAGTCCCCCTCCCTCGACTGTGAGCCTAACACACAGACCTGAAAGGTTTTTTGTCATTGCCCTTGAGATGAATCACCTTGAAGGCCGATGCTAATATGTGCTTACACATATGCACATGAACTAACTGTGCACATGTATGCAATGCACAGTACACACAGGTGCACACATGCATATCTGCACTGTACACATATACAGCAGTACATAGACACACTCCAGGGTATACACACCTACATGTACAGGCATGCACACACTTATACCCACACACATCCTGCATATACACACCCATAGACAGCATTACACTCATGTATGTGTACACACGCATACATACACATACACAGGCACACAAGTACACACTTGCACTTATCCACACAATATTCTTGCACATGTGATCACACACACAGCACATGCACATAAAGTTAGCTGCATACATTGCAGTCACAGCCACACTCACACAAATACTCCCCCAGAGTTTATTTTTTTTAATTTATTTTAATTTTTAATGTTGTTAAAAATATGCACAGTAGAGCATACACCAATTCAATAATTTCTATAGTTCAGTGGCATGGATTACAGTCAAGTAATCCTTCTTTTTTCAGTTGTTCCCTGATTCACATGAACTCACTGCTGTCTAAGGTTCCTAGTGAATCTTTTGAGTTGCTATTGCCAACCTGATCCCATATAGACAGAACTTAAAAAGACCCAATGTTCAAGGTCGTCATTCTTCTCTAGTTAAACTACTGTTTAAGACTTAATTTAATCTTATTGTGATTTGGGTACCAGTTCACAGAGCAAATTGGTTTTCCATTCAACAATTCATGCACATTTTTTTTTATTGTGATTTAGGTGAAAATTTAAAGAGCAAATTCACTTTCCATACAGAAGTTCACATACACTTTGTCTCATGACATTGACCACAATTTACCACAATGCAACAGCTCCCCTCCCACTTCCTCCC